GAAGCATGGAACCCTAAACACTAGCCCTGAAACCTTTAAAACCCTGCATATTTACAGCCCGAAATTGTAAAACCCTAAAGCCCTAATCCATCATCACAAAGTCCCTGGCATGGCGTTCAGCTAGCTTGGTTCTGCATGCTCATTCGTAGCAATCCCAGTTATGGATCTTCCGTCAATAGGTTTTATTTGCAATGAGTAACCTCAGAAGCCCGTCAAAGAGCATGCAACTAGGGAAGGAACGTCATCGTTTTCACCTGATGTTTTTGGGGGAATCCCCTGGAAAGTCAATCTGAGGCCTGAAGGTCTGCGCACTTCTGCACACCGATACGCGGACTTTGGTGTGTAGAGAGCTTCCTGTCAGGAAATCTAGCAGCCGGCAGCACTTGAAGCAGTGCATCCGGGAACAAATTCTTGAAAGTCAGCATTCTGCGCTCACAGTCGGTCCTCCACCCAGAAACTTTGTATATGTATATATATATATATATATATGGTCACCCCCACCCCATGACAGACCATCCCCTTCAAAACATCGCTCCCACCGGCGTGTTCGTGCTTTTTCCGGGGTATCGAGTTTGAGCCCTCCGAACGTATCTGTGGAACCACCAAAAGACTGAGACCCGTTGACAGACCATGCCCTTTCAACTCAGTAGTAGCGCATGGTCTGTGATCGCGGGGAGGTGGCACTCAGCTTTCAAAAACTCAATTCCAAAATTTCCAAAATTCTCTCCCCTAACTTTCCGGATTTCCAAAATTTCCAAAATTTCTAAAATTTCCAAAAAGTACGCCCTTATGTTTTGGAAAAATCCTGTCGGCTAGGTCGGGCCGTTTTGGAAATTTTGGAAATTTCGGAAATTTTGGAAATTTCTGAAATTTGGGAGATTTCGGAGATTTTGGAAATTTTGGAACTTCTGGAATTGATTTTCAATGGGCTGATTGTGACCCATCGGATGACAGACCATGCACTACGACTCACTTGCAAAGGCAAGGTCTGTTTAGACGATTGTCAGTGTTTATCTATTTTTCTAAATTGGTACTCCTACGAATACTATTACCAATACTCATTCTGACATTGATCATTTGCTGACTGCCCAAGCTAATACCAGCATTAACACTAATATTTACACTTTTTTAAGCCAATACGAATAGGCACCATACAAATAACAAATACTAATAATGACTAATACTGACGTTCGCATATCAATAATTATGCCCATATTGGTAGTAGTGTGTTTTAATTCAATACTAATACACACCTGCATATACCAATGTACATAAATATACATACCACTATATTAAAGTAGAAAATACATTAGCTGATGCATGTATTTATCTGTTAGTATTTTCATGTAATCAGGAGTAATACTAATATAAGACAAACGTTCATGCGAATACATAACCTCATTTTAATATTAGCACTCGCACTAGCACTATTTCTGATACCAATCACACTGTTTATACCAACACCAAGATTTACATAAGTATTGATACTCCTACGGATACTACTGCGTATACTCTTATGCTGTTAACAGTAATGCTGTCACAATTACTAATACTGACATTGATAACTTGCTGAATATTCAAGATAATGCCAGTATTAATACCATTAACACTTATACTAAGGCTAATGCGACTATGGATAATCCTAATACGAATATTAACATTAATACTCCTACGAATACCAATAGTCATATTCATACTGATGTGAAGACTGATACCATTACAAAAGACACGTGCATATGCTAATGCACACCAGAACACATACCATTAACTTAAAATGCCGATATGTATCAATGCATTCATGTACTGATGTTTTAGGACAAGCATATACCCATATACCAATGTAACAATACACTACTTGTTAATGTGTGAATATGCTATACTAGTATGCTACTATACTAGTATGCTACTATACTAGTATGCGACTACTGTAATATGCAAGTATACCGACGTGGCAGGTTAGTGTACTAATATGACAACATACTGATACACTTATAAATCTTTAGAGAATACACGTATATCGCATATACTAGTATACTAATACACTAATGTACGAATATACTGGTATGTTAATATACTAATATATTAATACAGCAATATACTAGTTTACTCATGCATCAGTTGTACTAAAGTATTAAATCTACGAATATGCAAGTATACAAATATGTTGCCTCTCGAACACATCAATGTGTTGATATACTAACCTGCTGATATACGAAACTATCAGAATAGTAACATGTCGAAACTAACTCTAATTTTGATACCAATACTAGCACCTCTGCCATTATTAACTGATATTAAAACCAGCATGAAGACTGATACTAATACTAGCAGTGGTACTATTACTGGCATTGACACTGGCACTAACACTAAGACTAAAACGAAGATGAGCACTAACATTAATGTATACTTACTACTGTCGATATACATATATATATATATATACATACTTACAGTAAACACTAATACTATTGCTGATACTAATACTAATACCAATATTAATACTCATACTCATCCTATATCAATGCTACCACAAAACTCATAACTCACGTGTCGCGCATCTGGTCCATGCGTCCTCAGTACATGGCATGTTAAAAGTATACTTGGTATATGTACTGTAAAGGATTTGCTTTACAGATTGTCGTCATGTGTGGTGTGTTTAGATGCAATATCTCAGCCTAGTCACCGAACGAGAGTACACTATCACAAGGGCATGGTCTGTCAACGGGGGGGGGGTGAGCATATATATATATATATATATATATATGTAATCCCAGAAACTCTTGTATATGTATATATATATATATATATATGTAATAACTCCGTGCCATTGGTGCTCAGGACAGAAGTTTCAGCGTAATGAGACCCTAAACCCTGAAGCCTGGAACCCTAAACACTAGCCCTAAAACCTTTAAAACCCCGCATATTTACAGCCTGAACCATAAAGGGCCTGGCATGTGTGTTCAGCTATAGCTTGATTCTGCATGTTCATCGTAGCAATCCCAGTTGCAAGCTTTGGGGTCTGGATTTTCTGGTAATAGGGTTTATTTGCAATGCGTAACCCCAGGAGACCGTCAAGGAGCATGCAACCAGGGAAGGAACACTCGACACACTTTAGCTCTATATATGCTATGGAAAACAATGCGAAATCGCCTGCTAGCGAGCCTGAACGATGTAGCTACCGCTACATGCACCCATCATTCTTTATGGGTCTGGTGTCCTTGTCTGATCAGTTCACAGCTCTCGCTTGTGTTGGACCTGTCTTGATGTGGGTCTGGCTCTCGCTTGTGTTGGACCTGTCTTGCTGTGAGGTGAGCAGCAGATGCGTTAAACACATGGCGATGGCAAAGCTGGCATAGCGTCGCGGCTTGTGTGTTTCTATCCGAGTGAGACTTGCCATCACACACGAAAAGAGATAAAAGCTAGCACACATAGAACCGACATAGAAACGAGTTGAAGTTACAGCATGTAGGAATTCGGTGTCGTGGTTTTCACCTGATGCCCCTGCGGAGAGTCCGCCAGATGATCAATAAGGTGCTGATCGGTCTGTGCACTTTGGCCCACCTTTACGTCAACTTTGGTGTACAGAGAGCTCCTGTCTGGAATGTTGGTGTGCCAAGGGCTTCCTGAATGGACACGAGAAAAACCTCCTGCCAGCAGCACTCGCAGCAGTGTGATACAGAGGCCTTAATAAATAGAATAGGCTTTTGGTGCCCATTATGCAATAATTTTAATCAGGAATCTCCCCAAAATAGTATAGGTAATCATTTAGGCCCTATAGTATCATGTCATGCTATGGGACGAAACCGTTGAAACTATGGATTCGGAGCTCACCGTCGGCCCGGAACCCTTGAATTAAGGACCAAATCACCCTGGACCGTGAGGGCCCGGTAGCCCTTAATTAAGAGATATACCTTAAACCATAAGGGGATTCAAATTCTGATTTAAGCTGTATTCCTTAATTAAGGGGCATTGGGCTCTCTGAGGACAGTAAAGGCCCGATAGCCTCATGCTCTGAATTTCTGTTGTAGAATCTGAACCTTATGGGCACCTTAAACTCTTTTGGGGGTGCATTTGGTTCTCAAGTCTCTACCTGGAGAGTCGGGGGACTCACTAAGTAGTTATTGGTGATGTTAGAGAGTTCTAAGTACCATAACCCCAATTAGGGTCCCATTTAGGGAACTTATAACTCTACTTATTGCCTACTTGGGTTATCCGGAAATCTTGTATAACTCCGCGCCCTTGGTGATGAGGGCTGAAACTTGTCAGGCTTATCTGCGAAACTTTAGGGTTTAGGGTTTAGGGTTTAGGGGCAGATAAGCCGCTTATCTGCGAAACTTTTATGAACCCCGAACCCTAACCTGATATAGCGACGCAATGACTAGAATAGGGCTTTAGGATATGTTTTACTGTAGTTACAATGCGAAGCTCCGAAATGTAATTGGTAATTATTGGCGCCCATAAACCCTAAACGCCGAAAGAAGTTGCAAGTAGGGTCTTCGGGTGAGCTGCCATCAGAACCAGTCCTGCGGGGAAGCACCTCGGCAGGGACTGCTCCTGCGATCAGAGATGCCTCGTTACGAGCATCCCCAGTAAACCAGGAATCAAAGGGCTCCTATATGGGTGGTTGTGAAAACTACTGTTGATGATAAAAATCCTGCATTACCTTAAGGACCCTAAACTATGGGAATTATTATGCTATATTCCTTATTATGGGGAATGCAGGATTTATATCATCAACCGTATGGTCCGCTTTGAGTCCTTAATATAATACGGCACCTAATTTTTAGGCTGCCCACAAAGGGGCCATAATTTGACAACCACCCATATGGGTCCTGCAAGGGTCCATGCACCCAAATAGTACATACTTGAGCCTTAAAGCAGTCCCCATATAAACACTTTTGGGTCGAAGTATATACGGGTACACGGACCCATGGGGCAACGGCCAAAAAGAGAGTGGAACACGGATTGCGACTTGATGTTGCTTGTGGAGGTATTGCAGCTCAAGATGGAGCCGGACTGTTCAACCTTGGCTGACTTCTGAACCCCTCCAAAAAGTTAAACTTTAGCCTCCTTATTATGGTTCGTATAGAAGCCCCAAAAGCTAAAGTCCTGAGAGCCAACCAGAAGAACGCCAAGCAACTTCAACAAATCCAACTGCTCTTGGATGCAGCTGCGAAGTTCGGGGCTGAAACCGCCGATCACGTGGTTCCCCAGCAAGGCACCTACCTTAGTTGCTGAGTTCATAAGCCCAGTGTACACTTTTAGTTTTATAGTGGGTAATATTCTCCCAAAAAGTATAAAGTGTATCCACTCAGCTACTAAGCTACGGGCAGCGCCGAGAGCTGTGCTTGGAGCAAGCGCACATCTGTGGCCGCCTGCCTGGCTTCTTGTTAACAAGGAATTTGATTTAAGATACCGTGATATGGCTTAGGGATCTATAGTACCCCTAAACCCTAAACCCAGAGGGTCCAAGTCCCCAAATAGTAGTGTTTTAGGTCCCCAAATCCATACTCTGAATGGTTTTTGGACCTTGAAACCCCCCTACTATGTGGGCACTTGGACCCTTAGGGAAACTCCTTAACAACAGCCCAGTTGCTGGTCCGCCATGGCCCAAGCGTCTTCAATAACATCTCGCAAAGCCTTGCATTTTCAGGGTCGGGAAAATGAAACCCTAAACCTGTGTGGGATTACAAATGCTTAACATGAAACCATACTTGGAGGATCATGGGACTTAGTAAGTATGGTTAAAAGTACCTTAATTGGGGTTACAAGTAATTATAAGTATAGTTACAAACCGCAAACCAGGACCCTCCTTGTGCCCTCAAACAGGAGTATATATATGGTCCCAGATAGGGGGCATTTAGGGCCTAGAGGGTAGATGGAGGGTCTAGGAACCTGTGGGATTACAAATGCGTAACATGAAACCATAAACCTGTCGAAATAAAAACGCTTAGGGTTTAGGGTGAAAGAGCAGTCAAAAGCCCTTTGGCAAACCTCAAACCTTCGGACTGGAAAGACCAAGATGCTTGAAGAGAAAGACCCTCCTCTGGCATTCCGGCCGCCTTGGCGTCTAAGCAGTTGCGCAGGAGGAGCAACTTGCTTGGAACACCTGGGCTCTTGTTGCAGGTTTTAGGGATTAGGGCTTGGCGTTCTTAGTACGGAGTTGCGGGAACTATCACAACCTACTGTCATGTGGGCGGTTGTCAAAAATGGGGGGTTCCTTATTATAATGCGGCACCTAATATTTAGGGTACCCAAAGAGGGACCACAATTTTGACAGCCACCCATGTAGGGTCCCTACATATTCGATCTATGGTAGGAACCCCAAGCTCTGCGAGTACTATAGATCCCTAGTATGGTACCTAGCTTAAGCGAGGTTAACCCTAAGGTACCCATATATGGTATATACTTAGGCCTTAAAGTACCTATATAGGGACCCCTCTAAGGATAAGGATCTATTATAACGGTACATGGAGCCTTTACCAGAACCCGGGCACTCAAGCGCCGCAACTTCTCCCGAAGACGCTTCGTCGGGCGAAACGCATTGGGATGGCTTGCGTGATGGCAGTGGTGACAATCCTTGGCTGACCTATAGTCTCCATTGTAGTTCCTTTTTCTTGGTTAACCAATTAATGGTTAGGATCCTATAATAGAGTTTTTGGCTAACCAAAAAAGGAACTACAATGGAGACTATAGGGACTTCTGAACCTCTCCAAGAAGTTAGATTTTTAGCCTCATTATTATGGTTCATATAGAAACCCAATAAGTTTAAAGTCCTAAGAGCCAACCAGAAGAACGCCAAGAATCCCAACCGGCCTGACAGGTCCCACGCGCGAAGAGCGCACAGGGCCTGCGGCAAAACTCCGGATGACCCCAGCTGCCAGGAACAACAAGTTCAGCAGCCACCTGTTCGGAGACATCCACCTAGGGCGGCTCCGGAAAAGAGGCCCTAAACCCTAAACACGCTCCGACATACCGCAAACTCTGTAAAACTCTGAAACTCCAAGATCCTGACATCAATACAAGCCAGGACACTTCGGCAAGGAGAACTTGAGGAAGCCGTGGCAAAGCCGGAACTGGAGGCAATGGTTGCAGATTTGCTGCGCGCCCCACCAGCTCGGCTAGGTACTTGTCCTGGAAGATATGCTTAACGGATCATGGTACTCGGCAACTATCATCAACAAGGAGTAATTGCACTACAAAAACATATCGTCATAAATACTAGGTTGGCCCTATGAAGCCTCGGATAAATCGTGAATAAGATCCTCTTAAGCCCAAAAAGAGAAATATAGGATAAGGCACTGCTCAGGTTACTTACTAAGTCCCGTGATCCTTTAAGTACTCCTAAACTTCCCCTTATAGAAGCCTCATAGAGCCCCAAGAAGGAAGCCTTTAAGCCAGCAAGTCCCACGAGCCTGCAAGCAGGGGACCCAACTCTTCGCTGAGGCTTGGGAGTTCAGGCTTACCTTACCCTATCGAAAACTACAGCAAACCTTAGGAGCTGCCCCCACCCTGTAATAGTGACCATAAGGATTATATTGGGGATTATTAGGGCCCTATTATATTCCTATTATACCACTATTACAGGGTGGGGGCCCCTTCTAAAGCAAACCCCAGAAAGTTGGAAACCTGATTAAGGCCAAATAGTACTGGGATTAACTATACATTACTCTTAAGGATTGAGGCTATGGGGTTTCCAACTTTTTGGCTTCTACTGTACTTTGCTGCAGGGACCCTAAGATTCTATATTCTATATGAGAGTTCAAGAATAAGAAACTACATAACAGTAGGTTGGGGCAGGACTTAAACTTACAAGTACCCAAAAAGGGATCCGAACTGGGGTTGTGATACTTATCTGTCTCCAGAATAACTACTTACTAAGTCCCCCGACCCTCCAAGTATAGTGAACCCCAGAAAGTTGGAAAATGGATTTAGGATGGTTAGTGCTGGGATCCCCTATACCTTACCTCTAAGGCCATGAGGATATTGATGCTCCAACTTTCTGGCTTCTACTGTAGCGGCTGCAACCCTAAACCCTAAACCCTAAACCCTACACTGTAGCGTAAGGTAGTTCTTTCCCAGTGCTCGTCTTTTCCTCCCCGCGAGGAGGGCCTCATACCCCCTTTACTTGGAGGGTCTTTAGGGGACTTACTAAGTAGTTCCTTAAAGGGATCCTTAAGGTGTTCCTTAAAGGGATCTATAGGGGTTTAGGGTTTAGGGCTTACTTGGAGGGTCGGGGGACTTACTAAGTAGTTCCTTAAAGGGATCCTTGAGGGGTTCCTTAAGGGGCTGCTTAAAGGGATCTATAGGGGTTTAGGGTTTAGGGCTTACTTGGAGGGTCGGGGGACTTACTAAGTAGTTCCTTAAAGGGATCCTTGAGGGGTTCCTTAAGGGGCTGCTTAAAGGGATCTATAGGGGTTTAGGGTTTAGGGCTTACTTGGAGGGTCGGGGGACTTACTAAGTAGTTATTATTTAAAGAGTTATAAGTACCATAACCCCAATTAGGATTCCTTTTAGGGTACTTAGAACTCTCTACTTGCTACCTACTTACTAAATCCCCCGACCCTCCAAGTATGCTATGAATTCCTGCCGTGCTATCCGGAACGTTACCCTTTCAGGAGACCAGAAACCTTATAGAACCCTTACCCACCCTCACTAGCGATTCTTTCTGGCTTTCTTGTTTAAGGCTTATAGGAAACGTGGCCTTTTAACATGCATTGCTCTCGACACCTCGCCCTTTCGCTGCTCGCGATTCCTTGTGGATTGAATTCTTGCTCGCAACACTTGGTCTTTAAAGTTTAGGGTTTGGGGTTTAGGGTTTAGGGTTTAGGCGACACTCGCGATTCCTTTTTGGCCCTGTCTGTGTTTCTGGCCCCTTTTGCGCCACGTCCAGGCCCCGGCAAATCTAAGCTTCTTGGCCTAATGCTCCACGCCCCTCAAACTTATGCTTAGTTGCTGAGTTCATAAGCCCCCAAAAGTGTACACTTTTAGTTTTATAGTGAGTGATCTTATCCCAAAAAGTGTAAAGTGTATCCACTCAGCTACGAAGTAAGTATTTCTGCTTGTGCAAGCATGAAGTGTGACTTTCTGGCTTCGACTGTACTGTTTAGGCCGTTGCATCTGGCGAAGGACAGCATGCCCATCCGTGCCCGATGTTCCAGTTTTCATTTGCCAGATTTGGGGGTTTCCGGAAATATGGGGACCCGAATATAGTACCCTAAATATAAGGACCCCTAAATACGGTAATTACCCTAATTGTCGGAAACTCCCACGTGCGTTCTCCCAGGTCTGCAGGACTTCCCGACCCCCTTCATCCGCAACACCGCACAGACGCCCCCCTGGTCCCCCCATCCTCGCCGTCACCCTCACCCGCACCATCTTCAAAACCATGAAACCCTCAACCCTCAACACCCTAAACACCCTTAACCCCGAGTCCCCCCCACTCTGGCCCCCATCCCCATACCCATCCACAAAGTGTCATAGTTATCCTCGCTCTTTTACTCAGGATTTAAGTACGAGATGCACGGATTTCAATATCCTCATTCTCTCACTCCCCCACCTCCGCCCGCAGTTGCTCCTCCTTTCAGCTGATGACGACCACTACCAGCGCGACAAGGAACACAACTACACCCCTGCCCGGACTCCTACCTTCGGGGTTCTTGGTTTGGGGGTGGGGCTTGCTTGGAGGGTCGGGGGACTTAGTAAGTAGTTATTTTGTAGAGTTATAATTACCATAACCCCAATTAGGATCCCTTTTCGGGTACTTATAAGTCTACTTATTACCTACTTACTAAGTCCCCCGACCCTCCAAGTGCTGGTTCCTGAGCGACTGTGCAGTCGCAGCCGCTGGGTCAGCTGAGGCGTGTACGCGCTGTGTTGCGTGAGAATAGGGTTCCGTTAGGGTTGTCTATAAAATCATAGGGTGTCTTAGGGCCGTATTAATTGGAATACAGTTCGGGCGTGTTCTGAGTCTAAATATAGGACTACGAAACAGTACCGTCCTGAGTGCCTTCGACTTTGACCGTCAGTCTCGGTGGAACGCTTTTCGCACGGGTCGGGGAAGGCGTGCGCTCTTCCACCACGATGAAGGTGAACTTGCCCTTCATCACAAACTCCAT